CCATCCACCATAAGTATGCGTGATAATCCATACACAGATAAACGTATGTTACTCACTGTAAACATGAATGAATGCTTAAATCACGTATTCAATCTATTTATCAACATTTGCCCATCTCACGGTTTAAATAAGGATCATTTGTATTTACTACAGCAAGCATAGGTAGCCGTTTATTTTATCAACAAAACGGTATCTTTTGTAGACATGGTTGCCAAATCAGGAAGAAACCAACTCTCTTTATAGGAATGGTGGATGGAAGGTGTTAAACGTAATTGATTTACACAAAACGTTATCGCTAATATTCAAGAAACATGTTCACTCCTATGTAATAAATATATACAAACATTATTAGACATTTAAGTTTTATTAATATTCTTACCTACTCTGGGTAAAATAGTACCCGCTAATGTGTTCCCGTTTTATTACTAAATTATATGTACAATTATATTTATAAATAGCACGGCAAAACGAGCCATAAAGAGACGATCATCGGCCTTACAGCGGCAGGGTTCTAACCAACCATTAGTTGGAATCGTCTATCTTTACTCTTGAGTTTAGAAAATTTTATTTTATTAATGCTCGTCGTTCGATTTATTACGTATCTCAATTGCCATCCAGAATATATTGACACCAACGTTTGTGGATCAGACCCATTTGCACACGGTATATTTGTGATGGTGTACATCCCATACATTGTAATATCTCGGTAATTTTGCGCAGGATTTGTTTATTAATTACCTCAACAGATTAAACGTAAATTGGCCCATGCTGTCTTAATGTCGCTTATTTTATAAGACACAAGTTGTGTGTGGCACAATTTCTTCTAGAATGAGTAGTATTGGTAACACTAATGTGTGCCATGTGTACAGCGTTCGCAGAAGAAATGATATTTCTGAATATAAAAGGCGTTTTCTAGGACTTACTTTTAAGAATTTACATCATGTTGTAGCTTGCTACTTTCCTTCAGAGTTATTAAATATGGTCGGCCACATCAGCTTTGTTCGAAGTTCTCCCTTACTCGCTCTTCTAAAAATCCGCAGATAATTATTATTAAATGCTCGAAGATGAAATTACTTATCACTTCTTTATGCTCTCATTCCAACATTGGATTTCGTTTAACACTCTTTCCGAATTTTTCTACATGGCAACAGGGCACTTGTAAGTTTAGATATGTAATCCGCAGCTTAACACTTTGTTTTGTTGATTTCAAAATTTTCTAGTCATTATTCTTACTATTATTATAATTAATTTAGCTAAAGAACTATGATCTAATTCTAACGTCTTAGAGCACTAGCATCTAAGATTTCAAAATGGCCATTGAGTTATTGTCAGCGGCCGTTATTTTAATGCTTCTTTATTTGTATAAAATAATTATGAACTATATAGCCTATTTCGATCTCCGCACATTGGTTGGGAGCCAATTGTAATATTTCTTTTTTTTATATTATAATTTGCATTATAATTTGCATTCTAATCTTGTTTATGTGTATATTAGATACAATATTTAAGAATTTACTTTTCTAATATATGTTTATTGACGTAAGGAAAAGCCTTTTATATTAGTATATATTGAAATAAACATGTAAAGAAATAAGTAAATGATATAATTCGTTCCGGTCCCACAATTCAAGCAAGGCTATTTGTTACATTATTACGATCTCTTTTCTTCAAGGTGGCTTTGAGCGGTGATATTTGCAAGGTATATCGGTGGGCAAAGGTTTTCCATCTATGACAATTTTGAAGGAACAACACACATCACGATACCACAACTTGCGAATCGCATACCGTCACATATAAAACTAGCGCACCGTGTATTTAGCAATTCTTGCTGTGCAGCAACTTTCGTTTAATGAAGAAAATGCATTTGATGTCGCTTCTGAGATTGTAAGCCGAAATTTTTACGTTGATGACTTAATGGCGGTAGTTCCATTGGTCAAGCAGTCAAATTTCAGCAGGAGGCTACATTCTTGTTATAAGAGGATGGCTTCATAATTCGAAAATGGTGCTCAAGTGACCAAGTTTTTTTATGTGACCTTTCGCTATCATATTGTATCTTTTCCTCAACTCTTACGAGGGAACTGACGCAGCCAAGACTTTGTGTCTTGTGTGTGTGTGGGATCCTAAAACCGATATTTTCATATCCTTCTTTTCGTTTACGGTAAGTGCAACAATAAAGCGCAACGTATTGTGTACTATAAGTAGAAAGTTTGGCAACTCTAAATGCGAGTTGTGGACGTGTTATTTTTTGTGCTTGTAAATTTTTGAAAATTTTTTGTAATGAATTTGTTTTTTTTTTTTTTTTTTCTGGCTTAGTCCATCCATCTCTATTCAACATACCAAAAAAAAAAAAAAAAAGAATTTGTTTCAATTGACTTTTAAGCCTAAAGAAGGTCTAATTTGTTGCAAATAGTGGTTTTAATATCATTTTGTATTTTGCTACTCGTACTTAGTGATGTTTTGTGTTCTGTACTATGTGCTTTTTTCGTTTTTCAGGGCAAATTTTTCCAAATATCCCTGTTTTTAATTTGCAATTTTCTACAGTTTACTAAACCTATTGCTATTCTCGCTTTTTTTTATTTCCATAGTGCGAAATTTGTGTGCTATTTTGAGTTACCATTGCGTATACTTAGTAAATTCTTCTCGTTTTTTTTTTCTACCAATATGGAACGTTTGTTTTCTGCACACGAAATGTATTGGTGTAACTATCCGAGCAGCAGACGCAGTGCTAAATTCAACGACGCGGTTATATTGGTTCTGTCCTGAGTTTATGAAACGTGATATTAACTCTTATAAGCTTTTAATAGGGACAAAAAAAGATTTCTTTGAATTAGATAAAGAACCTACGGTAATTTTGATAAAAGTCAAGCAATGTTCGAGTGTCGCCACTTAGAGCAGTTAGCTTCTCCTCAAACCTGTACAAGACCAGCTTTAAGCGTGGCATACGGTACTTCATCTCGGCTTTTCCGTAAATTATTTATGCTCGCCGCCATTTCTTATCGTCAACGACAAAACTTGTGAATCTGCCATTGGTAAATTCGGTTAAGGTATCGAGTGCTCCATCCTTGCTTCCAAAGGATATTAACATTTCCTGCATAGTAAACTTAGCTGGTAATACAAATAAGCCGGGAAGACCTATTCGTGTCAGCTACGGAGAGGTGGCAAGGGTTAATTCTCATAGTGGTGTCATCAGGTTTATTCAATGTATATCTCCAAAAAATGTTAACAAAAACAATAAATTTTTCTCTCTTCTTACGTACCTGCCGGGCGCCATGCTAGACGAGTCGCACAAGTTGCACAACCAAATGTAGTCCCTTCCTCTGTCTCTAAAACAAAGTTCCTTTTGTCTCTAAACCAAAGTTCCCGTGATTCCTAATGTTAATAACGCGAATGACATCTGTTTGATGGCAGTACACACCCAAAACGCAATATTTGTATCAAGGCTGACTGCTGACACTTTACCTGATAAGGTAAACAGTTATTTGGCTAGAAAAGTCCCATTGGTCAATTTGAAGCGTGTAAGCATTTTCAATTTGGCTCCATCTCTATCTAGAGTTATCTAGTCTTACCAATTTGCATTTCCTTTCATGACAGACACAATGGCCCATTAAATCACTGTAACATGTCAAATCCAACTTCCTCAAATAAACAATATGATTTTAATAAAACCAATATATTATTGCTTAAATTTCATGTTTCACGCATTATGGTGGATTTTCCTGCTGGGAATATTGAAACCCTGTTGTTATCGTTCTATAAATTGCTAAATCTAGCTATTTCCATTCCGATTGGACAGCTCCGCTTTCGGAGCAGTTCCCGCCACGGTTTAACAAAGGAATTAATCACTGCAAGAATAGGAAAAGTAAAGTTTTCAAAGAATTTTTGAAAATTTGATCGGCTTACAACTATTTCGCCTATTCTGTTCCGAGGCATTGATTCAATTACCTCAACCACCAAAGTTATTGCAGATACCTTCACTTAGTAAGATCCTCACTCCTAAATATTTTAATAAATTTGTCAACTCCAAAGGAAACATCTCCATATATCCCTCGCAAGTTTCTTTCAATGGCTCTGAGTACTCTGGTGATATTGAAACCTCAACTCTCTTGGCTAAATAATTCTGACGAAATTTTTCGACTGCTTATTCCGATTTAAACTGTAAACTATCGGTATTCGATATCTAACTCGGTTTTGATTCTTAACTTGTTCATTTCAGAAAATGATGTTTTAGATGGTTTAAGGTCTCTAAAATCTAGTTATCTCTCTTATCTTTATAACAGATCATTCAGGATTTTGTTTAACTTCATCACCTCGGATGAATTTCATGATGTCTCTCAAAGCAGACATTTTTTCTATATATGAATTATCAACTATATATATTAACGTAAGTTGACGATGTTGAACTGTTTTGGTCTCCTTGGAATGTCATTTGTACCTGCTTCAAATTGATTTAAATGATTTGGGTACATCGTTAAATTTTATGTAATTACATCTAAAAAATTGGAAGGTTTCTTTATAAAGGGGGAATTCATTTAATTTTACCGATTTACTAAAGTTGGAAAATGTAGATTCTTTCATCGACTTAGTGATTATATTTGGCCGAAGATTACATTTACATTTGCATAGTGAGCTCCGTTTGACGATGCGTTGGGCCGGTGCTTCTTCTTTCAGGGGTGGTTCAAAGAGATTAAAGATCTTCACGTTACAAAGAGGCTCAAACTTTCTTTATTTACACCAATGCACGAACGACTATGTTGTTTGATCTCCTTCTTATAGGTGTTACGTAGATTCAATTGGAACCGTTCAAGACCAATTCTTGAATTTCGTTTGGGACTTCCTGCATCTGTGCCCCCTTATGAAAATATATTACTTTTGTAATCCTTACGATCACTTGAGAAACGTATTATTTTTATTTATTTATTTATTTATTATGTGTCCTTCTTCATTAAGTTAATAAATGGTTCTATCAATTTGCCCACATTACTTGGTGAGATAAACTTTAACGCCCCGAATCGGTTCTCTAGGAACCTTTTCATTAAGCTTAGTCAATGTAAATATAACTATGAACTGTTCAGCGTTGTGTGCAGAAACCTAAATGTTAACATCAACATCGGGCTCTTTAAAGTCTATCGAAATAACTACGCTTAATACGCGCAATTTGTCTATGCCGTAGTTAAACTAACTTGTAATCTTAACGTCTCACTACGATTCGAAGATTAACCAGTGTTGCTTGCTGTTATCGGTTGCTATGGCCCTCATAACCTTGGTTCTGTGTGTGCCTGTGCTGTGCTAAATGTGCACATGTTTTCTTCTTTTTTTTCTCATTAATTTACTTATACAAGGATTTTATTCTTTTCCGTTTTTCTCATTGCTTCTCTTTATGTACCTCGTATTTAATAATAAATAGTATAAGATTTACTTCTAAGCGACTATTATGGGTCATAATTTACTTTAGCTGACTAAATACACCAGAAAATAAAAAATAGCTCTTTTTTATAATCATCCCGGACTAATAATTTCAAAGATCAAAGTGTTTATGTTTTGGAAAGAACGAAGTGAAATGGAACGAAAGTTTACCCCAACTCTTGCAATACAAATTCACGCTTTTGCGATGTTAACTCGGCGGCGTATGGTGCATGATCTGAGGCATTATTAAATCCTATCATGTTCGAAGTCGAGAGTAGCACCGACGAAAATTCTCATGGTACTCAAACACGATTATCAACACTTTTAATGTTATCGGTGCTTGTGAACAGTGATATCCATTCTTTGCCCACTGAACATATAATTCTTTGCTGGTCAATGGTTATTTTATCATGGTTAGACTTTAACATTTTTGCGGCTAAGACAGTAAATTACAAACGCTTAGTAACAAAATGCCTTTTCATTACGCCATTCCAGCCAATTTAAATCTAGCGAATATTTTATCGAGAGGCACTTTGCCGAAAAAAGTACTTCCTTCGAATATTTGGAAAAATGATGCAGATTTTCTGAAAAGCTATTGGTCTAATTGGCTAAAAGAAGTAACCTTTCTAACTGAACTGTCGGAAAGAAAGCGTGCATTAGCCACTTCACTACACAGTTGGACAAGAAGCTGCAAGTACCACAGTTGAGTGTGCATAGCGTCAAGCACACATAGCAACATTTATCAATTCAACAAACTTAATTCGTGTTGGTGGGAGACTTAAGTACTCAACCTCAGATTTTGATTTTTGTCAATTCATAATTTTACCAAAAATTTCTTTGTTTACCAAAGTGTCAGTCATTCATTCCCATCAGAGATTTTTCCATGCAGCGTTGCACTACTTGGTCATTGCAATCTGGCGGAAGTATCAACGCTTGAATGGGCAGAAAACAGTCGTATATGTAAACATCAAATATATTGAGCGTGCAATAGCAAAACTAGTAGTACTGTCTATTCATTATGACCCTGGAAGCCAAAACCTTTCAATGAATGGACGATATTCCTGGCGCATCTGCCTATGTTGCGTTTAGCTTACGCAACTTTAATGTAATACATTTATGATTTACACATAATTTAAGATAATTGCAAGTTGTCTTTTACTCGCTTACATACGTATATACATAGGTGTGCTGCATTAATTGCTATTTCCCAGGTAGGAACACACAGTTTTCCTTGAAACACACACTTACAAATAAAATCAATCAAAATTCACGCAATCTTCAAATTCGTCTTTTATTCTCAGTTTCGCCTTTGCAAGTGTAATTCTCAATTCGATTTGTTATTAAAAGATGTTGGTGGAAAAGAGCTCGCATCATACGTAAACAATAATAATATGCTCTTTCTAAAATTTTGGAATTTCTGCCATTAGTGATATTGGGTAGTCTTAATATCTGTTTTGGTTATGTTTCCATACGTACACTTACGGACTAGGTGTGAAAACTACTGAAGGAAGATATTAAATTGACATATATGTTGCGTATTTTTTATATTTTGTATTAGCTTCTTTCCTTTTATTCACCCGTACAGGACATATGAATGTATAAGAACTAGTCTAAGGTATAATTTCGTTTGCATTAAACATTAATCATAAGCGTTCGTTATAACTAGGAAAACGCTGATTTCGGTTAAATTTTAGTCATCTACTCACAAAAATGCATAAGTATTTCATATCTACAATTATAGTAATTTTTTTTTTTCAACAGAAGGGAAATATTAATGCGAAATAAAATAAATATATATTAGAGCAAAATAAGCGATACATGTATAACGTAGATTAGAATACGTTCAGATCAAAGATAATATTTAATAATAAAGAACCCATTATAATATACGTTACAGTTTATAATATTGTTTGTCTAAGCGGATGCATGCCCAAGATACAAAGATCAAAATGCCCTGGCCGGCAAGTTAAACTGAGAAACAAATAGATAGATGTAGAGGACTTATAATTTCGGATTAAATTTAGCGTTAAAATCATTGGTGGAAAGCAAAGTATTCAATCCGAGAAACTAATATTAGAGTGTTACTAATAATAATATTATAATAACCTTTTAATAATAATATTAAATTATTAATACATTTTTTATATTAAAACAATAGGTTATATTCTTGAATTCACCTTATGAACGAATATGTCTGAATTGACTCGATCTTAGTTCATATAAACGTAGGTAAGTTCACCTTAATAAACATAAAATTAAGTAGAACAAATAAAAAGTTATATTCGGCTGGGGCCGAATCTCGCATACCCACCACTATTGAAATTTTTACCGCCCCATGCCTTTATTTATAGTTATGGAGAAGTGCATGGAATTTGGCTTCTATCTTTTAGTTTGCTAACATAAAACTTTATATAACAAAATATTCTTCATAATTTATTTTAACAAACTTAGTTTTTCGCATTGTACTCTTCAAGTTCTTTTATTTGATACTCATATTGCTGATATTATTAGGAAAAAATAAATCCACCATATCGCGGTGTCTACCATATTTATATTAGAATGAACTCATATTTAGACGGACATTATATCTTCATTGAGGAATAGTTTTGAACATTCTGTCTTCTTTGCATTATGATAAATAAGCATAAAACACAAAAAAACTGAAAAAGGAAAATTTAAGCACTTGTAACTTTGTGTGGCCGTGGCTGATTTTTTCCATTTTCCAACGTAAAGAGTAGAGTATTTCGTAAAGTAAACGTAGAAAATTTCACCCATCTAACTTCCCTAATTTCGAAGTAGCGAGGAAAAACCCACAAATGATTACAAAGAAAAACGTTCAGTTTGCGCTCCATTGCAGGATTCTGGGCAGACCAATTTGATTCATTTTCAATATCAGCCTGCAGGTAAAAACTTCAAAGGTTTCTACTAAATTTAAACTTGATATCTAAATTTTTGCGACCAGGAAAGTGCCAACAACAAACACCGTACAGACACCCAGACGGACAGACATAGCTTAATCAAAACAAAATTTAAGTATAGCCCTATCCTTCAGTAGCGGGTATAGACACTTTCATAATTTGCGATAAATCAGTCAAACTAATTGCATGTATTTATCACATTTCTATTTTGAATCGTTTGCTAATTACAACGGAGTTTCTTTCTACATGAAATTAAGTTAATATAAATTATTCATGCGTAAACCGGCTGTAATCCATATTTAATTTATCAACTTCTCCAACTACTGCTACTGTTCTATAACTTCCTATAGCTCCTTCTCTAAACCTATATGAGCTCGTAATAACCTTCGGTTGAAGGAATGGGTGCCAAACATAGTCACTAATTAACTAGCCTGGCTACCATTTAATTTTTTTATCCAGCCGGAATAAATCAACCTTTTAGTTTAAATTATTATTTAAATACTATTTAAAATGAAACATTTGAAACTTTTAGCAGAAATGAAACTTTCCGTTGTTATGTTCTGTTATGTTGCGTAATTTAAAGGCTTCGGTTTGACATTGCTTTAAACTGTCATTCAACTCAAAAAGTATGTTATGTATTATTATTATTGTTGTTCTTATTACTATTATTAATATTATTATTATTATTATTATAATTCCCTTCGTATATATGAATCCGGTATATAGGAGTGCACGCATTCGAGGAAAATAAGTTTGAGAATACAGAGAAGATCGTGGTCGACCTCAGCACCTTAATGGAATCTTTTGAAAGATCTCATACACTTTCAACATTGCAAAGTGTTAACTTGAGCTCTTTGCCCTATTTTATAAATGACACGTTGACATGTTACACATATTAAAGCGTATTTATTAAAGAAACCGAACATGTGTAAATAGAGGTTCTTCAGTGCGAATTTTCATTAGTCGATATTAAGCTGCTAAATATTAGTAATTCTTCTCTGTTGGCTTCACGAGTTTCCAAAAATTATGATAATTGATCAGCTCTGTGCCCAGCTTGAAGGCAAAGTTGCAAGTAAAACTAGTGGAAAATCCGGGATTTTAATACAATAGGTATACATTGTTTGAAGTGAATAATAAAATATGTAAGTATCACTGGAAAAAAGTTTAATTATTTAGCAGTAAAGACTGCAAAAACTTAAAAAGAAATGTTCAAATTGGTTACTGCCAGCACTCAGAGAAAGAGGAAGAAAAACAAAATTGCATTACACACGCTTGAGTATATCACGAAATGTATGCAATCTCTAATTAGCGGTCGCTATTTATGCGCTCGTATCTTAATACGTTAATCCCTCTTCAGCATATACAAATTTATGTTAGAAATGCATATACAGTTGTATTTTCACTTAGCCGTAAAACTTCTTGCAAGCGATCGTCTCTCAAAAATTTAAAGGCAGAAGAAATAGAAGAAAGAACTAAAACTAAAAGTAGAGCAAAGAAAGATGGGGAAGTTTCGCATGGCCTTTACGCAATAAGTGATCCAATGACAATGGAATATTTGTTGAAAAGAAAATTTTCTTAGATACAAATGGTGAAAAAGGTGCAAATTTTTTAAAAGAATTATTACAGCAGTATTATATAATACCAAGCAAATATTTTGGAAGCAATAATAGTATAGGTAGAGATCGCAATACCACGAGTGCCACTGCTAAGGGTCGCAATTTTTAAAAACTACCATTTTGAAGTTTTTTGTCATAATTATCATAAGTGATATGTTATTGTTTAGTATGGCGTAGAGTTATATTTTTGAGTAAAAAACGAAAAAATTTTTTTTCGTGCAGTTACAACAATCAACTATTTTCATCGACCGCAGAAATGTGCTATGTGAATTAAAAAAAAAATTCTCTTCTGCGACTTTGCAGCACTTAAAACCATCCCTTGATGCGGTTATACAGGATTTAGTAAAAATATTTCTGACGTTTGTTCCAATAGCTGTGTCACAACACTATTATTAAAACCAAAAGACGTTTTTTAATGTAATTAAAAATGTGCGTAGATGTCAATTTCCTTCTAAATTATTTTGTAATTCAGTCTTGACATTGCACATTCTCTCCTCTTTTATTTCAATAAGAAAGTATTGTTTAGAGAGATTGTATTGCAAGCTTTCGTCATTTAGCCACAGTTTGCGTCATAAATTTTTTATTTTCTAATTGATATTTAAGGACTCTCAATTGGGATATTAGCACCGGATTGTAAATTAAAATGGAATTATAAAGGTTAGCCCATTAAGGATAGAAAGATTGCGCAATTTGCATGTGTAAAATTATTTCTTATATTCTTGTTATGTGAGTACGTATATAGATCGAACAGTTACCTGATCTTCAATTACTATCACGTAAAATTTCTTAACGATAACGAGCGAAATTTTTAAACAAAACTTACAAAACAAACTTTTAGGGCGGGGTTGGCTACCTGAAAAGAAAAGAAATTTTACAGTTTGCCATTTTTATTAATATCTGTCCATTGCATGTAACAAGGAAGGAAATGGGTTGTATCGAAATTTCTCTTTTTTCTTTGCTTAGTGAACCGTTGCGCATTGTAAGGAGTCTTGGTTTGTGGAAAAGCTTTTTGACAGTCTCTCAAAGTGTTGGAACATGTGTTTAAACTCTGATTGTCTACAGTTTAAAATTCAAGCCGAGATTACCTGCAACATGGAAATTTTCTGAGGCTAAAACAAATTTCATATATTCTTTGGCTCCTTCACTATGAGAATCTTTCGACGTCAAGGGTATATATTCTATCCTTATAGAAAAGACGTTTAGTGAATAATATGTGCATTTTTATGATTAGCTTGAAGTATTAAGATTTAATAGGTGTATAAACGTGTCGGCTAAAGTGTAGTCTTAGACTTGATTGCCAAATTATCGCGTGTGGAATTATTATATATAACGTGAATTTACTCGATGTCGTGAATCCCGTTAAGGGCGAACACAATTTTTCGATAGGTAAGGTAATTTACGTTGACGAAATAATAATCCTCCTTGTATACTCAGCGTAAATGAGCAGTGCTATATTACCGGTAATTGTAGGCCTTAATAAGGTGTTTGACTCCATACTGAAAGAAATATCTTACTTTGGAAAATTTCTAAACTTGTTTCTTAAATTGTCCTATCGGAACGAAATATCTCATGTACTTGGCCTACGAATTTCGATACTTATTACTAAAGTATTATTGTTGATGACTAAAACATCGCAATATCGTAGTGAGAGGAGTCCAGGGTTTTCAAAAAAGTTCCAAATATTTCATTGCAACTTGTAAAAAGAAAATGAATGTTTGTAAAATTTTACTACAAGCAAGTGACAGTTAATGTTTAATTGTGAAATGTGTCGGTAGCATAAAAGAAAAAGTGCTAAGGTGAAATGGAAGCATTTAGTTTTGACTAACCGATTGACCGATTCTTAAAAACTTGTATCTCGTATAGAATTTGTTTTGATATATAAACAGGGTTCGTTTGTTCGTACGTTTAAATATGCTGTTAGTTTTAGTTTATGCACTTAGTATTAGCACTGCTAGAAAATGTTTTAGTAGATGTTGGTCAAATAAATGTAACTAGAAATAAAAGAAAGAGAGCAATGAAAATTGTATATTATATATATCGTATGAGTATATACAAAAATTGCATAATTCAATGATAATATATTACGATAAATTTATACAAAAATTAATTTAACTTTATATTTAACGACATGTTGACTTTGTGACGGTTGTCATGATAAATTGAAAGTTCACCAAGTTTGTTGGCAAAAATCTGTTTTTTAACTTCTTTCGTGGAAGAGTCACTATTAGAAATGAGGTCAATACTTAAGAAATTGGAAAGTCTAAATAATCGAAAAATTCTTAGCGATTTTGTGTGCATTTACTAATTGCAACTATACTATGCATTTTTACGGTACAATATCACTGGTTGCTTGATATAATCTAATTCAGAAATTATTTTATTGTATATTATTACTATTTTCCACTTTTCGATTTTGTTCATTGCTTGTGATAAAAGCTTCCACATTGCCAGTTCTTTTTCCTATGTGATATTTACTAAAATAAAATGCTAATAAAATTATTAAATTTATATCCGAGTTACTTGGCACCTAGGTATGTGTGTTTCTATTGAACGTACGTTTGTTTGCTCGACAGTTACGTTTTCCCTCCAACACCTCCAACACGATAGAATTTTGATAACTGGAGCGATTATATTTTTAAAGGAGTTAAAAAGATCGGTTTCGACTATCCATCAAAGTTCAATTACTTAATTCAGTTTGTTATGCTTAATTAATGTATTTCGCATGACTGTGGGTTCATCTTTTATGACTGGCTGCTACCACAGCCATTACCTGTTGCATTGTGGGTTCTGGAACACAGGCTTGGGGATCACATTTCATTTTACCATCGCCACCACATCTGCAGAAAGAAAAATTTATGTTAAAAAGCAGTTTGACGTGTACTGATTTACATTCTGGAGAAAGAAAATCGATTCAGACAACCTCATTAAACATCTTACTTTCACTATAATTTTACCTTCTTGATTCAAATAAAATTTAAATGCTTTGATCATTTTTTGATTTGCAACTGAGAAAAATTGGTACACTATACATGTATAAACTTTTTTTCATCATTTTCTACAGGGTTTCCCAATCTTTCTAGCAAAATGGCGATAGCGGGCCAAAAGAACGATATTGGTTCCGCAGCGATGAAATCATTGACCCAATTTCGCACCTCTTCGACATGTCTAAGTCGGTTGTTTTTAATAATGCGCATTTTCACTAATAGATGTCGCAGATCAAAATATATGCAAGCACCTATTATGTCTAAAGCATTGGTAAAATGAGCGAAAGAATAAATGATTGTTATATTTGATTAACAAAATATAAGCAATATTCTTCCCGTGAAAAGTTAGCATAGAAATGATACATATCGAGCATATGACACGCTACCAATAAACAAAATATTTTTTGTTTTTATATTCACCATGAAATTGTGAGTATCAAAAATTCGCCTCAAGGACGAATAGATAACCAATTTGTCATGTTTATTCCGACAAACAAAAATTCGCGGTAAATTATCAAAGCTTTAATCTTGTTTCTTTACAAAGGCTTGCTTCCGCGAGAGCTCTTGTAAAGGATGACGTTCATATATAGACCTATTCCATTCAAATTCAGTGCAGTAAATTTATGTGTTAAATCACTTACTTGGACCTACTATGACTACAAAATATAAAAAATTAGACGGTTTTACCACATAAAGCTTCATTTTTCATGAAAATGGGTGTATGGGAAGGGATTCAAAGGCCTAGCCTATCCAATTTAGTATTTTGGAAATTGCTCACCAATATTTGTCGGTAAATTAGGCAAAAACCAATATTTTTAATAACAAAACTCTTTCATAATACGATGTTTTGTAAAAAGTAAAAATGGTCCAATTCAATCCATTTTCAAGATTGTTCTTCCTTTGAATACAAGTTACATGGAAAAGTATTAGATGGACAAGATACAAAAGGTGAGACTGAATCATGTTGCATACTTCAGCACAAACTTAATATATCTTGTGTCTTCACTTAATATAACTATATATCTAGGGCTCAAGGATGGTATCTTGACAATGCAGTAGTTAAAGCTGAAGATTCTTTAAAGTTACAAAATTCCGCCAGTGTTTTCACGTATATTATGAATGTGTTTATGCGAAATAAATTAAAATACTTACGTGCAGTTAATACAAGGACCGCTTGTTGATTCAATTTTGTCACCTACTCGATACGAGCGACCGTTAATGAGACAGCCAACGCGCTGGACAGTGTTTCCATATGAATGATGCAAAAAATGTGGAGGTAAGGTAGTGCTTGTCGTCGTTGTGCTCGTAGTAACATTAAGTACAGTTGCCATCGATACAGGGCACTCATAGCGTGGACAGCAGAAGCCAGAAATGGGTTCTTCATGGCAGCCAGAAATTGGAGGGGGACACGATTGTTGCAAGCAGATAATATCACTACGGAAGCAGAAGCAAAAGTCGCACGGATCATCTCTAGGTATCTGCTGAGCGGATACGTATAGTTTTCCACCGTATCGACAAGTTCCTGGACCAAAGATTTCAGTTTCATCTTCGTCAGTATATTCATCTTCTGTGTATGAAGGATACTGAGGTTGTTGTCCGTAAGTAGCAGGCTGTTGTGGATGTTGCGTAGTTAAAAGTGTTGTGGTGATTACAGGCGTAACGGTTGTCATCGTAGTCGTATGAATTTCTGACGAAGATTTTGTACTGATATGTTCTGTAGAGGGTGGCGATTGTCCTTCATCCGCATTAGTATTTTGGTCGGATATCTCTGAAAACTTATCAGTTGCGATGTGATACGAAAGAAGCGGATATTTAGTCGAAGAATATACACTTTGGTCTGTTCTCTCGTCGGGTTCAATCGATATTATGTTTTTGTTAATATTTTCAGTTAAAATGTTATTTTTCGTTGTTGTTACGGCAGATATGTCGTACAGACTTTCTGAAATTTGGTTTTGGCTTCCCACGAAGGACTCTTTATTTTCAACATGCACAATATTTTCTGTTATTTTTGTCAATTTGGTGTTCATCTCAGTGGTTTCAGTAATTTGCGTATCGTGTTCAGTAGTGTAATCAGGTCCACTTTTAAAGTTAGAAATGATCGTAAATAAAGATGAACTGTTTTCTTTGACATTTATTTTTCCCTCGGTAGCAAGCCCAATTAACTTTTCATTTAAATCGAAGTTTTTTTCATTATCTTCAAAGTCAATTACTTTAATATTTGGCTCGACGGTTACTGTAAGAGGATATTGCTCTTTTTCAAAGGTCGCTCCTGTAGTAAATTCGTTATTCATGTAAAGGACTTTCATTTCATTTTCTTCAGAAGTAGATAAATTATTAAACTGCCCAATATATTCCGTAATAAGTTGAGTCGTAGGATCTAAATTAGGAATATATTCATTTTGAAACAATGAAGTTCCGTTAGGCTGTTCCTTTAACACATTCATCGTATACCCTGGCGGTGCTGTAACCATATTTTCGCTTTCAAACATGTTGTAGAGTTCTGCTGGCGTACTAAATTCTGCCACATTTGATTTATATGTGGTAATCTCGCCTATTTTAAAATTGTTGTGAGTCGTTGGTTCATGCGAAACGGAACTTAAAGTGGAAGAAGGTTCACTAATTTGCTCAGAGACGACTTTCAATGCGGGGAATTTGACCGTGCTCTGTGTCGTTCTAGTGGCTAAATCACCATCTTCAACAACGTCATTTTCTATGATTTCATTCAAAGAAGGCTGATGTTTCTCTTCCGTGTTTACTGCAGCAACGCCGCTATTATTCCACGCGTTTGTCGAAGGAATAGAAAGCATTTTTTGTGGAATTACATTTTCATCTGATGCGGCAAAAGTTTCATCAGTGAATGGAATGTGAGCAGACGTGAAAAATTCCTTTTGAGTATATAAATCTTCTTGCTCTGAGGATGTCTCTTCGCTGTCTACTAAGCTTTTGTCGGCGGGTTTTGCTTTTTGCAACTCTTTTTCATTAATTGGAAGGAAGATATTTGTAGGAATCACAGTAGAAATTTCTTCTTTACCGTCCTCACTGCTTAAAGAAGATGTCTCTAAAATTTCCGTCACTGGATGACTATTTACCTCAACAACTTTTTGGGAAATATCGATGAATCTCGTTCTCAAAGTAATTAATTCGGGATTTTCCAATGTCCTTAATGTGGTTGTTACTTCGTCACCATTATCTTTTTCGGTAAGTCCTAGATTTTCTTTTATGGAATTTGTTAAATTATCATCAGAAACGCTGTTTTCTAATCTATTATCGTTGGTGCTCAGACTTTCCGTCTTAAAAATATTCGTATCGGCTTGAGTGTCCGAGTTTATAAAATAACCGCTGGAATCAGTAATATTTTGTTTCTTCGCGTTAGTAATATTAGTGTCTAATGTTGAAAGTGACAGCCCGCTGGGCTTCAAAACGGTTATATTTTCCGTAGTAACAATTTCCTTCACATTTTTGTATAAGTCAAAAGTAGGATCCTCTACAGACGCTAAAGTTGTAAGTTGGTCGGACGTTGGAACAAAGCTCCATATTTCCGTTGTTGCGTTGGTTCGATTTAATAAGACGTCCAGAAGCCCCGATTCAATTTCATTTTGCGAAATAGAAGAATTTTTTTCATATTCTTCACTTGGGGTATGAGTACTTATTCGTGAAAATAGATATTTATTTTCGACATCGGAGTTTGTTAAAGTTGTTCTGGTAATTCCTTCAATTTCTTCAGCAAGCCCACTTTCTTGGGTTGAGGATTCCTTGGTGGTTTGCACAATAAAAACATTATCGTCAGCAACAACTGTGCTTACTCTTTCGAAATTGGTAAAATTATTGTCCGTTTCGTCTGCAACAAGTGGCTCTTTATTGCTTGTGGGTTCAGTCAAACTGACATAGTTATTATAATTCTCTATTGAGTCAGTAATATAATCCATCTTAGGGGGAAAAGTTGTAGTATCACATATATAATTTGGGCAACATTTGTCACTTTTGTCCTCATCTATAATACATCTGTCCACATTTATAGGCATGCTGCAATGTACACGATCACATGTTACAACGCTGTTAACACATTTGCACGACATTTCACACTTATCAGATATTGGAACAACTGCATTGTTTTCGTAGGTTTTCTGATCAATAAGACAGCTTCCTTCACCAGGAATTACTGGTGGCAAATGTACATCAGATATTTCTCCTAAAGCAAAATGCGAGGTAATTGTTTTCACATTAGTAGTCGCATTTTCCATTTTTTCGTAACTTTGAGCAGGTTTTTGAAACAGAATGCTAGCTGTAGTATATTGGTTAATAAAATTTGTTGCATTTTCGGAGGGAGTCATAATGACATTAGTAAACATCTGCTTCTCAGCAGATTCTAAAGGCTCGTTTGTAGTTTCCTCGATTTTATAATCATTGTTTTCTATCACGCTGCTGGAGCTCTCATTGTCGTCAAACATTTTAGTAAGCAAAGTGGGCAAAGTTGACGACTTCTTCGCAAGCATTGACTTATCTGTTGGAATTGTTTTGGATTCATCATCTATGTCGCTTTCGTTTATTTCGAAGTTTACACTATGATTTGTCAAACGATCGTCACTTTGATTATTAACAATTGCTCCGGTTGTTGTTGTACCAAATTCTCCACCCGATGTTGTAAATCGGATTCGCATATTTTGATTTTCTTGAGAAACTCGAGATGGTTTGGTGGAAATGAATTTTACGGTTCCTTCAAAAATTCCGAAATCACTTTTCTTGGATGTATCACTTGGCCACTCTTCTGTCGTTGTAAGATACTTTTCGTCATCTAAAGCATTAAACGATTCATCGGAGTATCCAACAGATTCATAGTCAGAAATTTCAGTAACCCCATTATTAGCGCTGCTATGAAGTATTGAAGTACCTTGAAGTGGTTGCATAGTGGAAAATCCACTTTCTGCCTTAAATGTTACCTTTTCGCTTTCTTTCTCGACTTTTCGGCTCTGATCCTCTTCAAAATGCTTTTCAGTCGATTCGTATTCTTCATACTCGAAGTTTTCCGTTTGTTTGTCTTTCTGCTCCGGATTCCAATCTTTTGTGAGCACATCGGTGCCTTGATATTCTGTTGTTACTGATTTCGAGGGCGCTGCCTCCGCGACAGGATGCTTTTGGATAATTTTTTTTGGCTGCTCTTCGATTACCATAGTTTTCGTAGGTCGTCCATGAGTTGTAATTTTTCGTGTGCTTTCAATACGTTCAGTTATTTTTTCATCAGACATTGACGTCGTTAAGGCAAATTCTCCGTCTAACTTTTCACTTCTATTCATATTCTTTGCGATGTTTTCTAAAGTTGTTGCTTGTGATAAATCTTCAGTAAAATCTTGGGATTGCATGTAGTATGACGAGATTTTTTCGTTTAACTCCATTGGTTTGTACAAGATTGTTTGAACATGTTCTTTTGCTATGTCACTTTTGTTATCGCCAATTGATGGATTTGTGATCTGCTCAATACCTGTATTTGATAGTTGAGTAGCAGTTTCAGGCTCTGATTTAGGAACCAGCATTCCGACGATTTTTTTATTTGCTGTGGATCGTTCTCCTACATTCGTAAAATTTGTTACAACAAAATTATCTTGTTTTTCACTTATAATACCTTCTGTTGTTTGACTGGCAGACGAAAATTTTTCGCCATTTGTCGACGCTTCACTAAAACGTTCGTCCTCATTTTGAAACCCGTAATCGGTCGTTTTTGTTGGGGTTCCAATGTTTCCTTCATGCGAATAATATTGGGGCGTGTCTCCGCTTCTTGGAGTAGTTTCAGCTATTGTGTCGACTTCAACGCTCTTCGTTTTAGAGGAAACACTTTCTCCATCGTTTGACAATGGTAATATACGTTCGTCGAGTGTTGATGCAAGAGAACCATTGTTTATTTGTTGGATTGCAGTCTTAAATATCGTGTTCTCCGTTATAAATTTAGCAACACCTGTAAGGAAGGGAACTTCGGATGTATATTCCGTGAACTCGTTATATTGTTTGATATCGATAAAGCCTGGTTGGTCTCCTACCGTAGACTTAGTAATATGGGGGTTTGTTTGCTCGTCTTCATTACCTTCTGTATCTGATTCATTCGTAAATAATTCTTCTGATATATCAGTAACTTGGTTTTCACTTACTAAATATTGAGACTTGCTTGAAGCATCAGTTGTGAAATCTAAAATTGATGGCCGAACAGTAATATTGTCTGGAGAAGCAACTGATTCTTCATCAGTCACCACCTTGTCCATAATACTTTTGTCGTAGTGATTTAAATGTTGTCTTTCATAAACTGTGGGAGAAGTGGTGTCTAATTCTGTAAGCTCATGTGTTATACTATGCGTTTCGATAGCTCTTGTTGAAAGGACATCGTTGTTTCGTTCCGAGGAAAAGTTAGTGCGTACAAAAAGTTCTTCTTCTTCTTTCAAGGACTTGCGATTATTAACTGGTTCTGTGAATGGCTCGAATTCACTATCAGTGAAAGCAATGTCATCGAAGATTTTGTCATTATCTAAACTTTTGGTTTGAGTTTCGTGTTTAAAATAATAAGGGCTCTCAAATTCGGTCTTATCACTTTGCAAATTTTTTATCTCTAATTTTTCTTCGAATTCGGGCGATTTTGTAAAATGGTCTTGGATGTCTCCATATTTGATATAATCCGCACTTTCCGGGTTAGAACTGACTAATGAATTTGTTCTCAATTCGTATGGCTTCGCTGTCATCGATGTCAGATGGTTGGCGCTATTATCGAAGTCAATCGACGTTTTCTCATGACCGTTGCTAACTGAATGCATCGTAGTGGATATTTCGGTTGTCATACTGCTATCATCAATTTCATCTTTTCTGTAAGCATTTGTCGTTTCAGTAGCAAATATGTCGGTTTTTTCATTAGTGATGTAGTCTTTTTTACCAGTGCTTTCATTAATTAATTCTTCAATATCACTTTCAGCTTTTTCTTTTCCATTTTTAACAAAGATATTTTTTTTGAATGCTGCTTGCTCTGTAGGTATGTGTGGGTACTTTTCTTTTTCGTTAGTTTTAGTGCTCGCCTGGATTGCATTATCACTCATGTCAATAGCTTCCGAGGGGAAATATTTATCATCACTATATGTAGTTCTTTGCATGGGGTTATCTGTAGTTAAAAATTCAGTCAAGGGTCCGAGATTTTCATATTCGGTTATTCCGAATTTGTCTCTGTGTATGCCGTTGCTTTTATGTTTGTCAATATGGGCTTGCAACCGTATGTCATCTTCTGATATGGAACTATGAAGATGTTCGATAGGAATCGAGGAGATATCTCCGACTTTCTCATCCGAGTTAGAATATGGCAACGTTGATGTGTTGAAATTTTGGTAAGTAGTCACGTCGTCTTCGCACACATAATTGTTGGAGCAACATTCACTCCCGTTAGCAGGCGCGGCCATGCAAATTTTCCCATTAGTAGCAAGTAACGAGCTTTTGCATTCCTGCACTGCGCAAATGATATCGCCCCGCATGCAATAGCAATTTTGGCAAGGATTTTCACCAGGTACGCGAGATCCGTCAACATAAAATTGATGATTTTGCACACATTTAGTGCTCGTCGCGGACATGGCGGTAGTGGTAAGTATAAAGCCAGGTGTTGGACGTTCAGTGGTTTGTTCAGTAGTAACAATAGTAGTGCTATAATTATCCTCCAAATCAAGAACATCATTTTCGTGATCTGCATTCGTATACAATAAAAATATATAGTAGAAGTACATAGTAAGAATTTCTTAGACTTTAACTTACCGCAGTTGTAACGTATGGGACAACAGGACCCTCGGTTATAAATAGGCATGCAACCCTCGATGTACAGAGTACACTCCTGCATCAGACAAGATGTGCGGTTTTTAATGCAATAGCAGAGCTCACACGGCGTAGTGGGATTTGAGGGTACTTGCGCGCCTTCAGGATAAAATTTTCCGTTGAGATTGCAACCATATTTTTCTGGCACATGTAGTTGTGTATCAGTCTCTGTTAGATGATGGGCGACATCAACAGGAACTATAATGTACAACAGAAAAAATTTCCAATTTTTTTAAAATGCTTGGGATGGTAGACTGCTTTTCTGTATTTAGACCACAAACCAACCTTCGGGACAAGTAATAATTGGACAGCACTGATCTTCACGTTTTTCAACAATGCAATCATGTCCGATTGGTTTTGTGAACGGGCAAACACGCAAATAACACATAAGCATTTTGTTGTGACATGTACAATTCAAACAAGGTTCATTCGTCATGATTCTATCACCTTCATTGTAATGATTATAATTGTAGTAGCAACCTTCTAGAAAATAAGAATAAAAATAGTCCAATTAAACGCCATTCATTTAATACTTTTTGAAAAGGAAACTGAATAGAACTGGACAACTGAATTTTTATTTTTTCCGACGTTATTAGGTGGGCATCACTCATGACTACAGTTTTGAAACTTTTCTTAAACAATAGCATCATAGCTTTAATCCTCTACTGCCAAGAAAAAAACAAGACATTTAATTGTACCACTGTACTTCGCGAACTATTTGTGCTCGTTGCGTCTATCTACGACAAAATCTACTATTTCGAAATCGATCTCACAGGGCTGCTGCAAATCAAAGAACACCTTATTAAATAGATCAAGAGCTCATACTGCTGTTTTGCCATTATTCACTATATTATGACTTGAATTCAATAGTTAGATGGTCCTGTGATCTGTAATGAAAGCTTTTAGGATGAATGAAAATGGAAAGCAGTTTGTTATATATAAAACTTTTTTTTCATTAGCGAAAGCCTACATGACTTCACGACCAATTACAAAATCATGAAAACATAATCAATCCTTAAGGGGAAACAAAATGGAGAGAGCCACAAAGAAAAAACTTATCGGCTAAAATGTGATTACTAGACCCATTAAATGTGTGATAAAAGCAATACAGAAATTCCCGACCCGAATTAACCTTAAAAATAAGAAGGATAATAATCCGTAACAACTTCGATTCTAGATCTGAAAAAAAACAGCATGATTGCTATAAATAAATATTCAATTTATCAAAGCTATTTTCACAACTAAACGAGACGGTTTCTAAATTTGAATTTAAGGAACGAAAATAGCTATGTGCGAATTCTCAATTTTCGAATAGGACTTTTTTTATGAGGACGCCAAGAACGACAAAATATCTGTAACTTGAATGTCCTATGTGTTTGGATACCAAAAGCTTTTTGGCTATATTTACTTATGCTTATACTTATGTCTGTACTTCTATTCATATTTAAACCTTCAAACTTAATTTGTGCGTCTAACCAAGGATCTCTAGACCAAGTCCAAGTTTCCGGTTTTACTTATAGAGCTTGAGGATTTGAACATGGTCACAAAAAGATGGAGGGGAAATTCGCTTTGAAGCTTATTATTATTTTTAATTCTACTTACCAGTATATTGCTGCACTTCGTTATACTCTTGTAAAGGAGCTGCAGAGAAATGGAAAGACAAATTAAATGTAAACTAAACATTCAAGCCGGCAAAACATTGAACTGTCGCTTAATCTGTCCTATATACAATCAAATATATAATATATTACTTGATTTTTCCTAATCGGCACAGTCAAAAAACGCACCAGAAGTTGATTATCAAATGAATTCGTTACATTTTAATATTTTTTGCATGTATACATCAAATAAAACAAAAAGGAAAAAAAAGCACAAGACGAAATGATGATCGTTTCTTTTAAATTTTAAGATTATTTATCTAATTTATGCTTATTTTACACTAATGTATATTTCTTTTACATTATATGATCTGCAATTTTAGTTTATACCATGCATTATTTTGTAGGAAATAAAAAACAAGCAATAAAGACCCTTAATGTTAAAGTGGAAATTGATTTGTTAGAGAGCCATAAATAGTAATTTCCAAGTTATGGATCAATTAAAACATAAAAACGTTCTCGATGGTGTTAAAATTTAAGCAGGTTTTTTTTGAAGATTAACAATATTATTATTTATAAATTTGTTGTTTATGTTTACGTTGATTTTTTTATTTTGTTTCTAAAACCATATGCTTTTGCTTACATTTTCTGCAACACAATACGGTAGTGCGGCCGTCTATTGTGTTCACCACTGGGACTATTTAACGAAAGCGAAAATGATTCCTAATTGGATCAGCCCCCACAGTCACATTAATATCTGTTTTTTTCATTTATTATCACTTATTTTTTCGGCACATGATTTTCTTGCCCTATTTACTTATTCGCAGTTTCAATAGTGACCCACTCTTTTGTAACTCTGTTTTGTAACACTCTGTGTAACTTTTGGCTTAAAGCATCTCTATTCCCTTCTATATGTATACTTTTAAATACAGTGTCAGGTTTTTTCATTCTAAAATTGTGAGCAAACATTATAAACGTGAGAAACCTGCTTATTTTGTTGGCATAAATTTAAGCGAAGCACGGGCTTTATTTCATCAAAACAACGCCAAGCGTTGAACTTGCATCGGCTGGCTACATAATTATGCCATATGTAAATAAAACTTTTTATTAACGTAGCGCAAGTAAATTGTAGCGAGTAGACTTTGTATTGAAATGAGGAAATGAGTAATGAGTCAATGTATCAACTCTTAGGGCTGTGTCATGCATGTGCTGAGTGTGGAGAGGAACTTAATGCGACATCATGAATTATTTATTTAGATACAAAAATACTTATATACTTAAATATAGGCGTTCCTGTAACTGATGTTCACGTGATGGTTAGTTTGTCATCTACTAATTCATGATTATATCATGATGTAATAATATTGTACACGCATATGCGTCAGTTCTGTTAATGCGCACAACATCTTTTTTTGTTTGATTATCAGAGGAATCGAACGCATCAAAACGAATAATCATAGTAAGTGAGTACGATCGTTCTAAAGAAAATTAGTAATTGTTTCCCGAGCTAATACTTGTGTGAAGCTTAATTCATCCTGTCCGTTGTCATACTGAAAGAATGTTAACGTAGCTATCGCCTAAGAAGGAACCACCAATTAGTGAAAAATATGTGAACGTTTTGTTTCCAAAGATTGGAGACGCAATATGATGCAGCCAACAGCTGAAGCCCTTAGTTTTTTTTGTGGCTACAACAGGGCTATCTGGTTTGTAGTTGTCACTGAACTACATTTGTACCCTTGGAAAGAAGCATCTTCGAGACGCGGAGGAAAATCATCAAATGAGACGAAATGAACACTCTGGTATTCAAGATGAACATACAAATAATGCTGGCAGCGAAAACATCCGAATATAGAAGAGAATGTTGGACACTACTCACATGTAACAAAGATGTTGCTATAAATACTGAAACGAAATATACGGATAATTAGTCTAACTATTAAATTGCAGTAAAATAAAACGCCATTAATGTTAAAACAAAAAATGGTTAATACGTTTTATATTCTACACTGCATTCTTTAGCTTGGATAGCTTAGTGTTATAAACTTAAAATAAATACATTAGCGACCTCTAAAAGACAATCAAGCGGCGATTGCTGAAAGTAAACATTTACTTTAAAGGGGTTGTTGATAAACTTTCAAATATTAAGAAAACAATATCTTCAAGCTTCATTAGTGACGAATAAAGGGACCTACATAGTTTATTTCTTTTCTTCATTGTCCTCGTTTTTAAAGAAAAACAAGTAAGAACATTATACTCGAGCAAATCTGACCATTACATACCCTACACCAATTCGCTCAATACAGTTATTCGCTCCTTTCTCTGAATTACTTTTTATTACAAAATATTGAGAATTAAGCCGTTTTCGGAAGGTTTACTACTCATAATACCTTATACGGAGTGAGGTCAAGAAATAGACCAGGTTCACTTAATTTTTTTTTGCCATGGTATGTAAATCGTAGACCTACATGCCCGAATTCACTAAAGTCGATTTCTTCGTCAAGTTACTAGTATGAGTCCTGAAAGATTGAAAATTCGATCTTTTTAAAATATACAAGTTCACCTTCCGTAGGAACGGTTATGTGAAAGAGGTTCCAAAAACTGTCCCAGCCAAAGTTTTCACACCAATTTAGAGTGCGGAAATATTGCTACTTAGTCACTTTTGTCGAGAAGTTTTGAAAATTGGAACTTTTTTCCATATAACGACTTTTCTGAATGGGGTTTTATATGGGGGATGGCCGAAAGGTGGACCGAGCCGAGTCATTTTTAATAGCGTTTGTCTTCGGGTCAAAGCATATCAGCGTAATCAATTTCAATATCTCAAAATATCTCAAAAATTCTTGCGGCTTGAACACAAATTTACGTGGACATATATCCCATGGGCTGACAAGCTTAGATTCGATTTCGAAAATGATTTTGAATCGATTGGCATGAAGTACCGTATACGCTATACCCTATACAAGTGGTATAGGGTATAATTACTTAATATTTGCATCTAAGAATCAAGCTTTCTACTTACTTTATTATATGTATGATGTAGTGATTGTCATCATTTGGTTACCTAAATTACATAAATGATACAGAGGTAAATGTTTACAGTTCTGTCTGGAATAGAGAAAGTAGTGTACATCACGATATCGCCTTCGAAGTTTACGAGAGAAGATTACTACGTGCTAACATTGAGTTACTTTTTAAGTTTAAGTGGAAAATAATAACGTAGTACATGAATACTATAAGAGAACTGGGGTTGCATAATGTTGGAGGATCCATATACACTGTAAGGAATCTATGCGGAAGGATTATTAATAATTGAAAACATTTCTCTAAAAAATATGTCGCTTTTTATTAGAAGAACAAACATTTATTTTACGCGTTGTGCATTGCAGTGGTTAACCCACGTCATATCTCAATGAGGAAAAAGTAATTTTTTATTATACCTACAATTGAAGGAAGGGGATGTACTCATTTCTTCGTAATGCTCGCAATATCAAAGAGAAAGCTTCGAAATAATTGGCATAAGTAAACTTTGTTGTCACTGCCCAGGTGAAAATTTTGGACACACTTCTAGTTCCTGGGGTGGGCAGCTCACGCTTTCTATTTCAAAGCAACATGATGTTCAAGGAAGGGATGCCTGCTACACTACCTGACTATCTAACATAGCTAGCTGTTTGGTAGGCGGTGATGTTCAAATTGTTTCATCGCCTCCTTGCCATCCTTATCTATGGATCTTCATCTTGGATCTCATTTATTAAAGCCTCCATGCGCCATTCACCTGTCATTGCTTGGTCAATATGTTTTCCTAAGCGGTCATTATAAAATTGTGTACTATTAGTTTGGGTAATTTCACGCATGAAATTGATAGTACTCACATTTGGAAGGGGGAATTTTGGAATCGAAACCTTTTGAGTTTGTGAAGTTGCTATTAAACTGAAATTCGAAAACAACAAATGTTACATTAATTTTAGTAGTGGTAACAGGACTTTAGTAACAAAAGCCACCAGCACATCCATCGAAATGTCAAATGTAGTTAATACGACAATAAGAGGAACTACCAGCAAAAGTAATATCATTGTAGTGGTTCAACGCGTTATTGCCGCCTCTTCTCTTAGCTTGCTAATTGTTAACAAAGATGCAAATAGTGAAAATGAACTAACTAGTAAGTACGTATATTTGGCAATGACGTCGGATCCGTCTTTTTTAACATGTATTATACACATCCTATGTGTAAAAAACAAAACTTGGCCGAAATGCACCATAAATAGGATTATGAACGAAGCAAAAACCTTGTCGAGGTCCTATGAGAGTTGCAGACTGAAGGGTAAATCTTCACTTGTTCGTTTTGCAAGCGAGGCCAGAATCTTGCAAAAGTAAGGAACCCTTCGATGAGTTACCCGGTTTCTTCGAAGAGTTTAATACCGGCTTTAACAAGTGCAATGCCTTGATGAATCATCACAAAACAAAAGCAAGCTCGCTTATCAGGTCAGAGGTGTAGACTTGACTACTAATTCGGGATGCATCAAGGAATATCCTTCAGAATTACAGAGGAATAGAAGAGTGGAATTGCCAAGATTTGTGCATTGCCGAGAGTGTTTGAAGTCTTGGTTATTAAGTAACTTACATAGATTATTGCGTCAGTAATTCCTTCGTCCCAACATGGTTTAACGAAAAGAAAATACACGGCTACCAATTTTTGGTGCTTACTGGTGATGCCTATAAAGCGATCGAGGGTACAAGAACACTGACGTAATTTACGTTGATTTTTCGAAAGTATTTGGTAAGGTAGATCTTAATCTACTGATTTGTAAGTTAAAATGATATTTCAAATCACAGAATTCCAGAGTTTGCAGATGACGTAAAAACTTACTGCTCTTTCGATGGGCTTACTGGTACACATTTTCTCTAAGGTGAATTTGGCCTGGTCGGAAATAACTTCATGTGGTCGAATTTAAAAAAAATTCAAAAAATTGTTGTTGTCATGGGTAATATTGCAGCCTACGTCGTATCTAATTAATAACTAAGTTATGGCGAACGTACCGTGCTTTAACGAAACATTCTTGACTCATAGTCAACGTTCATATTGAAACTTCTGTTAACAAATCTCTTCTGCTTTTCATTAAAAAATGATGATCCGTGTATTGCGAACATTTTGTTAACGTCCGTGGTTACATCAATCCTAGAATATTCAGTCGATGTGTATGTACCAAACTAGTGATATTAGGTGGATCTTATTCAGCCTCTCCAACGTCAGTTTCTACTTTTTCCGTTGTGGAGCTTGGCTTAACATCTACCAGGGGCGTCAACGCTATTCGACAATAGGTTGAAGCCTATTAATCTATCTTCACTTCAGAAAAGGAGAGAAATAATGAGCATGTTCTTTATGACTAAATTAATGAAGAGTGATATTTCGCATTAGCATTATTAGATGATGTGCCTTTCAATGTTCCGTGTAGGGGTCTTAAGCAGTACGTTTCCTGTGCGCACAACACACTGTCGTACTATATTTTTTTCGTATAATCCATTTCGTGTCTTATGAGAATTGCTTCTTATCCTATTTTTGTTCCTACAGTATAAAAAAAAAATAATATAGATATATATATCCATATATATATATATATATAGATATATATATCCATATATATATATAGATATATATAGTATATAGGGTCGATAGTCCAAATTTCAATATAAATAAATTAAATATTGTTTTTTATTCAATGTTTTAGTTTTAAGACAGAGCCGATAGCCTGTGTTGCTAGTGCTCAATGTCTTTTTTTAGTCTAAGAATTCATTTCATTAGTCTAAAATTAAAATAATAATAATAATAATAATAATAAGACAGATAAATTTACCACTTTTTGTTACGATATTATATCCTCTATTAATTTTTGTTAATCACGTTCGTAACTTTAGCTGATAAGTATGCTCACAATGTTAAATAAATAAATAAATATATATATATATATATATACTATATCCAGCAAACATAAGATCATAGAGGTTTTCATCTTTTTTTTTTTTTTTTGGTTGAAATGACAATTTATTTAATTACTTGTTTATTTATTCATTACTAGCTACAAGTATACATTCAGTCGTATTAAACAATACTCTTAAAATTTTTTCCTTAATCTGCAACTATCTGCTTTTAATAAATTTTAAAATAACAATTCTTTTCACACTTGCATTTACTGTCATTCATTACCTTCATACATTCCTTAAGCTCACATATAGTTTTGTAAATAAGCTTTTTTGTTGTAAACGCACATATCCTTCTTGTTCGTATTTCAGACATATTTGGTTTGCGTTTTTTTCCAATGACAAATAGTGTTTGTGTCAAATGATTGTTTGAACGAGTCATTTAGCAAAAATGGAGCCACGTCACCGATAATTAGTCTGTAAATTACTGTCTATCTTAATAAATGTTCCCTATGCGTAGTTAATCGCGTAACTTAAAGAGTTAAAACATTCACCTTAAAAGCCAAATATATAATTTCCAACCGTTTGAATTCAACCTTTTTTTTTTCTAAAAACTTTTCCTTATTTTCGTCCCACAAAAATTTAAGATGTCTCCTCCTTGAAACGCTCTACCGCTTCCTCCTTTTTTCAGTCTTGACAGATCATTTAGTGCTCACGGAAGATCCCAGGCTTGCATTTCAAACTCCGAAACCTGCAGCCTTTCGCAATATAGCAGAAATTTAAGACAATCATGAATTTTTTTCTATGTAACTTCTACACTATGTCTATTGGTCTGGGTTGTGGGTTCTTAATACTTTTTAATCTTGATCAGAAATATAAATATATCTACGTCAGAATTGGTAAAAACATTGGAAATTGTTGTTCAGTGGTGGTAGATGTACAAGATTGGACCTCAAACCAATATAACACCCTCTTACTTTTTTTATAAGACAGTTTAGACTATTTTTAAATGAATATACATTAGTTTAGAAACACACAAAGGCTTTTAGATTTAGAAAGCACACAAAGGCTTTATATTCAATTCCTATTTGCGCATTTGAATATGAATCATGCCATCTAATAAGTTGTATTAATTTAACAATAACAATCACAATAAGTTGTATTAATTTAACAATAACAAATCACAATTCGTAGCTGTTCTTTTTTCTATACCAACTCGTCCATTTAAATAGCATAGAATAGTTTTTTTAAAATATATATATATATATATATATATATCGACTGTGCCATAATGAGTAGCCTTAAAAGACATACGTTATAACGGCTACATAATATTCACAGTTAAATAAATACTAAAGGTTTTCTAATTATATAGCAAACAGCATATATCAAGAATATTTTATCATATACATAACACAAAGTTTTAAGAGCAGATTTTAGAAACTGGGCAACGTGTGTACCCTATTCGCTTTCCCTTTTATTCTATAGTCGTCTCAATTAATCTAAGCTAAACTACTTCACTTATCGTGAAAAATTAGGTAGAATGCTCTTAGATTTGTAGGCATTTGCCTCTCCAACGCTCAGCTTCAATCCAAGAAATGGAATTTCCGAACGAGTCAAACAAAATTTCCTTCAAGCTGACGTACGGCTAGACGAGTATTCCCAAACAGGTTTGTAATCTTACGCGGAAAAGAAAATTTATGGCTTGTGGAACACCTGATGCTGGTATTTACCATTATTATTGGAAGGGTAAATCTATTCTTCATCCGTTGGATGTGCGTACGCAAATAAAAATTTAGAAAGTGGGATGAAAAGTTGAACAGCGGAATATATGCCCTTGGCTCCTTAATATTCTCTTTTTTTGCATTTATGTTTTGTTTAAAGGGTCTAATGTATTTGACATAAATGTGTTGAGCGTTCCACGTACTTACCAGTTTCCGCCACTAAAGGTATCATCAGAAACGCTACAACTGCACATACATGCATATCGAAACCCAAATGATTCAAACGTTTTCTTTCCATTTTTTACAGTCTAAAAAGCAAAAAGAAAATAACAAGAGAGTAGTAGGTAAAAATACTGTTTAATTATCTAACTAGAAAATACACTAAAATTATTGCTTTTTATCATTATTTTTTTAATAGGTTCTCTTTTTACCTTGAATTGTACCGGAAAAGTTTTTAGGTTTGAACATTTTTAAATCAATGATATTGAAATGTCAATGTTACCATACTGAAGGTTCATATAAATCCATGCTTTCAGATAAGGTGGGTGGTCTTTAAAAGGCAGTCAAATAAAAATCTGATAGAAAGTCAATTTTCTGACTGATGCAGAAAATGAGGTTCTAAGGCTGGCGCTACGAATTATTAACTTTTGAAGTTACGGTTTTGAAGCCACAGAGAAATCTTCAACTACGTCTAAGAACTCATAGAGTGCACAAATGGGCTTCGTGCTTCTGTAGCCAAAACATAAATTGTGAGTAAAAGTCTTTTTCCAAATGACTTCCCGATTGTGTTTTTACCATGGTATTTACAAGAAACTTTCTTCCTATGGTCCCTTTCAATCTCCTATGTGTTTAAAGTCCATCGTCTTCCTGACAATTTTTATTTCGGGGAATTGCCTATATGCTTTATCATTGTTCCCTTTTTCTGTTTTTTCAGGCAAATGTGTATTTCCACGGAATCTCGCATATGCATGATGATTGTTTTCTATGAATTTTCTTTGTTGGCTCGCTTGATAATATTTCTTTGAGCTTTTTTACATTTTATTTAGATTTATTTATATCCGTTGTTTGAAGTGCTTGTGTTTATAGTTTTTCAATTTTGACCTTTAGTAATAGTGTACGAATGCGGTTCACTTAGATTTGACTGTTTGGACTTGCTTTTTTCGTGCCCATGTGTCCAATTTTGCACTTTTTTAGCGCAATCGTTTCGAACAGTTAAACGAAATTGTTTGATACCAGCCCACACATTCGTTCTCTTCTGCTCTAAAATTTTTCTTTTTCTATGAAAAATGCGTGAACGCATCTTAACATACGTACTGGTGATCGCTCTCGTAGAAGGAGAAGAACCAGAACTTGGGTAAAGCCTCATTGTTAATGAAACCTTAGACATAATTATCCGTGTATATAGGAAAGCGCCGTGTATATAGGGTTTCGCACTATATGACACACAACGCACATACACACTACAATTAGCCAATATGAAAATGTTTTGTTTTTCATTTGTTTCTTTTTTTGTTTAGCTTGCTTTTGAAAAACAATATAATTTTATATTTATTACTGTTTCTGTTAGATATTCTTGAATTACTTTTCTTTTTCTTTCTTAATTTTTCATTTGTTCCACATCTCCAATCAATATCGGTATAATCAAAAATAATTTTATACGCCGCTTGCTACATGTAGATAAAAAATGTTATAATTTATTTATCTATAAACACTAAAATGAATCAGAAGCTATTGCCGGTTTTTCTCATTACTAGGCGTGCTAACGATGCATATAAATAATTCAATCTGAACTAAACATAAATTATCTCTTGATTTTTGTTTCCTTTATTTTCCGAAATGTGCATAATAGATTATTGGAAATGTGTGTTCAAGAGCTTAATAATTTTTCAATAGTTGAATTTTTTAGATTGGCAAGTTTCAAAATATTTTGTTTAGTAAGTATCGAAATATTTAAGGCGTTAAGCAAGGCAAATATGTGTAGATTACAAGATTTTTATGGTTGAGGAATTAGAAAAAAATTCATAAATAAAAGACATAGTTTCCAAGAAATCTTTTAAAGCTTATCCAATTTTCTTACATTTGACTCCGGACGATAATCAAAGACTAGATTTACCCTCCCATTTATAGTTGCAAAGCAGAAATGCGTGCAACGTCTATATACTCTCGATGAACGATCTGAATCCGCACGTCCGCTTATGTCGATGTGCCTCGTCTAATTGGAACGCTGACAAAAAATTGCGATAGAAATTCGAAATTTTGTATGTACACTCCCAGCGAATGGCCACGGATCAAATTTGATATTTGAACATTTTGAAAGATGATCAAAATAACAATAATTTATTTTGTCGCCAGCCATCAATATTTCCTTAGCAAATTCTAGCTCTTTAATATCATTCTCGATATCTTACCGGGGGCTTCAAAATTAAACAACAACCTATATGTGAAGTTCGTGAACTTGGTAAGCTGAACCGATCTTCGACAAATCTACAAGAGGTAGTTCTTTTTCATAGTGCCCTATTGCCGATCGAGATTGTTTTTCAACAAATTTATTGATTTGCAGTTGCCGCAAATTGTATAAGGTGTACAAATAAGTTCCCCGTAACGAAATTGGTCGCTTTAAATTGAAATTTCAAGCATAGATAACTTTGGCATTGATACTTTCATGGTATAAGTTTCAATTATTTATAAGTTTCAGTTATTTATAGCACTGCATTTTATTCTGCTTTAAATTGGAAAAAATGCGGCTGAAGCTATGGAAATTAAGCTGGCTTGGAGTGAAGAAACACTAGGGGAAAAACAGAATTTTGTGTGAAAAATGTTATGTCTTGAAGACCATGTACGTCCATATAAAAGCGTCCTTCTATAGCAAAAGCAACCCAGGAAGCGGTCTCCAATTTGGGATTGAAACTCGTCCTGATTGCGAAAGTGTTTTCTTTTTGTTAGCACTGGTTGAGATCGACAGAGCGGGAGCATCCGTAAGCTGACTGATAAGATGCAAAAGACCAAAAGTATTGGTGGGGAATATTTGGATTTTAAGCTTTATAACATATATTTTTTAATTAAATTGGAATTTTATGAAAACATCCTGCTTTTTACGATTTTTATACTCACTACTGAAGGAGGGGGTATATTCATTTTGTTTCCCTTCATAACATATGCAACATCCAAAAGGAAGCTTTAGAGACGCTATAAAAAATTTTTTTTCTTGATCAGCGTCAAATTTTAAACTGATTAAGCCATGTCCGTCCGCCTGCACGTTTTTGTGACCATGTGGTGCGTGTTGGCGGCACTTAACCTGGTCGCAAAAATGGAAATATCGACTTCAAATTTGGTGGACACATTAGAAATTTCTGCGCGCAAGTTGCTATTGAAAATGGTTCAAAATGCGCAGACCACAAGCCTGCAATGACGCGTAAACTGAATGCAGCTCTGTTTTCCGTAACAAAAATTTGTGGGTTTTTGGTCGGTACTCCGAAATTGTAAAAGTTAGAAGGCTAAAAGTTTCCATATTAATTTTAAGACACACTCTACTCCCTACATGCAAAAATGGAAAAAATCGGCCATGACTGCACAGCTATGACTTTACAAGTGGTTAAATTTTATTTGTTTCACTTTTTGACGTTTTGTGCTTGTTACGAATGTTTAAAACCATTTGTACTGTACATTCCTCAAATGAAGATATATTATTTGGTTAAAAATGCATTAATTCTAAAATGAATATGGTAGACACCGCGACCTGGTGGATTAATTGTTTTTTAATATCATTCAAATAAAAGAGTTTGGAGAGTACAATGCGAGAAGCTAAGTGTGTTAATTCTAAATTAATTGGGTAGGCGTCACGATTTAGGGAATAAATGTTTTTTAAAAATACCTTCAATATTAGCATCAAATGAAAGGAGTTGGAGATCGTGTCAGTATAGTCTTGGGGCATTTAGAAAAAACCAATTTCTCGGACAGTATTATTGGTACATAACTTTTCCACTAGTTTGATTTTGTGTTGTGTTGTGCGAACAAGCGGAGGGAGCTCTAACTGAGAACAGTCGATTCGGAATTTCGGGTTTATACGTAATGCAAATATGAAAAGTGGAATATTTAAATCTTACGAAAGAGCGGTTGTACATCCCTTCCCTTTAATCTTAGATAATACAAAATTAATTAATCTCTAAAAACTAAATTACCCATTTTCTTCAATTTTGTTTATGGAAAAATAATATATTGTTTAAAATTTTATTTTCGAAATTTTAAGTAAAATAAATTAAATGCATATTCAAGTTCAGCTTAAAATGAATACGTGTCTAATCATGGAAATCTCACATCACGAGACAATTTACCAAGCATCAGATACTACGCAGAAGCAGGCGAATGCTTATGTAAATGCTATTAAAAGGGCGCTTTCTTTTATATAACGATTGTACAGAGCCGGCTAATCGCATGTGCACAAAGCAACGGCAATGGGAAGAAAATATTCTTAATAAGCAAAAGGAAAATTAAAAAAATTTAAATTCAGCTTGAACCGAACATTTTTATATCCATCGCTCATTATGTTGCACTTTGACAAGATTTTGTAAACTGACTTTAGATATTGAATGATGATGGGGTTATTTATAGTGGTCAATCCTCTAAATGTTTATAAATATCTACCATTAAAACGTTGCCGTGTGGTGATTTTGTCAGGAGAACGTGCTTGTGCCGTAAATTTGTTCTCCAAGGACAGTCGAACATAATTTTATAATATAATGCCTTTTAGATTGACGAAGACTTTTTCTCTTTAGATCACTTCAAGTAAGTGGCGTACTCTAATGTCGGTGGTAGCACCATCGACTTTGTTCGTCAACTTTTTCTTTAAATTTCTTTCAAATATATTTTTGAAAGTTAATTTCAAAGATGACGCATGCGGCTGTTAGGGCTGCTCGCTTATTTCCCAAAACTCCGATACGACTCCAAATAATAAACAATTTAAATGTTGTTGCGGTAAGTGGAAATGGTATTCCTTAGTTTGTTAACCCGTTGACGTTAATGGCGTCCATACTCGTCCATTGCGTGTCCTTGTAGAAGCACGCGATAGGCAAATAGCAGTCGTATTTTCTTAGCATTATATAAAAAAAAAGGAAATTTAGGTTTTTTGGCAGCAGCCACTGATTTTAAAATGAGTTTCAACGTGTTAATGTTAATCGGAATTTAAAGTGTTTCTAATAGTCGTTATGACCGACAGACTATCTTTGATGATAAGTTTCTATTTGCGAGGTTTGTGGTTTGAAGAGAAGCTTTAGCTTCGGTTGAAAGTATTTGCGCCGGATAGGATTGACTT